GCCGATCGCCCGCCTGATCATAGAGTCGCCTTCTCGCCCACTGAGGGTTCCCGCCCCTGCTACACGTCGACGAAGCACACTCGCCACGTCCCGACATGTGCGCAGCGTTGTGCATCCGTAACGTGCAGCGGGGCAGGCGAGATCGCATGAGCCACCCACTCAGCCACCGACGGGCGCTCACGCGATCTCTGACCACGACCAACATCTCCCGCTCCTCCTGCCTCCTGCCTCCCACTCTCGTTTCCTACAAGCTCGCCGCGCTCTGATTACAAGCCTCAACGCCATGCGCCACGTCAAGAAACGCTCCATGCGCCGGCTTCGCGCGCGGGAACACCACCTAACGGACATGGGCTGGCCAGCGAGAGCCTAGTCGACTCCTACGTCCGAAGACGTAGCGCAGTGGCATGGTGGATCGATGGAGGAGCGGGAGGAATAGCAGAGGAACGGGCGACAAGGTAAGTAGCCCGTCATTTCGATCCGCCCGGCCGTCCCCAGCCAGCTTCCGCCCGCCCGGCCGTCAATCCTCAGCCCTAGCACCTCATCCGCCGTCTACTACCCTCGGACCCGCTCGGTACTGTGCGCCGTTGGCGTATGCACCCCCATCCATTCCTTTCCGCGCCCATGCGCCCCTCCGTTGCGAAGGCCAGCCCGCCCAGCAGGCCAGTTGACGACTGGGACCGGCCACTCGCCCTCCCTCTACCCCCTGCGTGGTGGTCTCCCTCCCCTCTCGACTGTACCATGCCCCCCTCACCCACTACATCGGACATGCCTACGCGCCGCTAAGCCCGCCTGGCAAGCCCACCCCCATTGTGAACAATACGGCGGGTCGGCGCACATGCCCGGTCCGTCCTTGATTGACCCACCAAACCGTCGTTCCGTGCCCGCTACCCCACCCAGCTCGTCTACGGTGTCCCCTTCCTCGTTTGACCCGCCACCATCCGTCGCTACTCAGCGGCTGTGCGCCGACGATGCCCAGCCGTTGTCGGGTGTTGTTCTGTCCCCACCACTGCCGTCCTGAGCCAGCAGACTTGCGTGTCCAGCCTGGCCTTGCGAGCAGGCGAGGCGAGCCTTCCACACCCCTCGCCCACCCTCTGCTGCCCACCGCACTCCTTCGCGACCCTGACAGGTGCCCCACACGCAGGCGTTGTGCCATTCATACACTCGTCACGCGCCCGCTGCCAGACCAACCGCCCCGCTCCCCATGCTTCCCGACTTGCCGGTCCATCCCGCCCTCACGCCGCAATCTTCTGCACACCGAATCATAGCGGGGCGGCATGCGCCGTGAACGTACGCAACGCCTGCCATCCTTCTTGATGGCTACCCCACCCTTCTTCCGCAAATGCCAACCCTTACCGCCCACGTACCGCTCATGTCTCGAACGAAAAGCCACCTACATGTATTGAACAGGGTATTTTACCCGCGATCGCGCCGTAGCGCGATCGCGGGTAGAGTACAGTGTTCTAGGAGATAAATAGGTATGTTTTTCTACCCGCGTTCGCGTCGTGACGCGAACGCGGGTAGATGACACACTCTTTCCAAAGTAATCTCATCTGTTTCTTACCCGCGCTCGCGCCGTGACGCGAGCGCGGGTAAGTTTGTTGGCCTACCTTGGTCATACCTGCGCGGTTTGGGCTCGTTGGGCCCATCCGCTGTCCTCGCTGTCCTCGTCGCTTATCCGTCCCCCCTCCTCACTTGCCGTCCGCATGCCCACACCAATGGCGCGTTCGTTGGCTGTGTTTGCACGCGGGCACGCTTTGCAGCTGTCTCCTGTCCTCGGCTTTCCCGCGCGTACTCCGTTCGCTGGCCGTGTCTGCGTGTCGGGCATTCGCCCAACGCGCTCGCGATCGGTGTGCACTGTACACGGCGCTGTGCCAGGGCTTGTAGGCCGGTGAGTATGTTTTCCGTTTGTCGACTGAGTTTGCTCGAAGGGCCAATACTGCCGACTCGGAGCGAACCATTTGTCTACTCTCGCCCGCAAAGGGCACCCGCCCCTGCTGCACATCACCCAATACATCCCCCGCATGCACCGTTTATGCAGTGTTGTGCATCGGTGACGCCACCCGCTCAGCCACCGGCGGGCGCTAGTGCGATCTCTGCCTCTCACCGCCATCTCCCTCACCTCCTACCTCCTCCACACGTCTCTCTCCCATCCATTCGACCCACGAACCTCGCTATCAAGCCCGCCACACGTCCGGAGCATGAAACCAAGGCCTTGGAGCCGCGGGAAGACCATGTCATCGCGACGTGGCTCGGCCAGTAAGGGCCGCCGCGCGTCCTACGTCCAATGACGAGGCGCGATCATTGATGCATGGAGGAACGAGGGAGGGAGTGGGAGACAGAGTAGAGGCACAGGCTACAGGTGAGCAGCGTGCTATGTCGCCCGTTCTGTCGTTCTCACCCATCGGCTTGCCCATCCGGATGCCCGCCTGTCCATCCCGCTTCACCTCACCCTCTACCGCCCTCTACCGCCCTCGAACTTCCCAGCAATTGTGTGCCGTCGACGCACGCACTACGTCCTACCCTTTCTATGCACGCACGCAACCTCCTTTCGTGACCGCCACTCTGCCTAGCCGTTATGAGACTGTAGCTCACACTCCAACCCCGTTCCCTCGTTTGACCGACGCCGCTACGCACCTCTATCCCATCCCATGATCCCTGCTTGCCTGTCAATAATTGCGGGACTAAGTTTCATGGTACGTCCTTTTATGTGTCTTTCTATCCGCGATCTCGCCATGGTGCCAATGCGGATACGTGCATGTGCCGACACGTACTTCCGTGCGTTGTCGTCTACCCGCGTTCGCGCCGTGGCGCGAACGCGGATAAGTTGCACTGTTCTGGTACATGACTTCCGTGCGATGTCATCTACCCGTGTTCGCCCTGTGGCGTGAATGCGTATAGGTTTACTGTTCCCGTATGTACTTCTGTGTGTTATCATCTACCCGTGTTCGCGCCACGGCGCGAACGCGGATAGTTGCGCTGTTCCAGTATGTATTGCCGGTGTTGTCATCTACCCGCATTCGCGCCACGGCGCGAATGCGGGTAAGCGTACGTGCTCAGGGTACGCACTGTATGTATTGTATTGTAATCCTGTAGCAGACGGTCAGTAATTGAATGTTACACTTCAACAGACATGGCCGGGCCAGCAAGAACCCGGCTGCCTCCTACGTCCAAAGACGTAGTGTGATCGAGTGGGCGACTGACGGAGAAGTGAGGGAAAGTGCAGAGGAACGGGCTACCAGGTAAGTAGCCCGTCAATTCATTTTGAGTCATTGACTTGCACCCACCCTCTCGCCTGCTGGTTGAGAACAGGGTATTTTACCCGCGATCGCGCTATGGCGCGATCGCGGGTAGGGTACACTATACTGACCGTGTCTCAGCACAGTGTTTTCTACCCGCGTTCGCGTCACGACGCGAACACGGGTAGGTTGACTGTTCCGAGCGGTGATTATTTGGTATGTGTTCTACCCGCGTTCGCGCCGTGACGCGAGCGCGGGTACATTCGTTGGCTTACTTTGGTTGTACCTACGTGGGTTTGCGCTCGTTGCGCCCACCCGCAACCCTCGCTGTCCTCGTCTCTCGCTCGTGCCTGCCCATCCCCCCTCCTCATTCATGTGTACTCCGTTCGCCGCTCGTGTTTGCATGCTGGGCAGTCGCCCAACATGCTCGCGATCGACGTGCGCATCGAGACGGTCCGCTCGCGTCCGCACGCCTCCCGTCCCCGCCCGCGGTCCACCCTCATTGCTGTGCTGGCTGTTGCTGTGTCTGCCGTGCTTGCGCATGGTCGCACCTGATACCACCGGGGAAGGGTCCAGTCGTAATTGACCCTCAACTCCGTTACACGTCTGCGGACTGTATGCTTACCCGCAATTGCGCTACGACGTGGTTACGGGTAAACACACAGTCCATATTTGCACGGAATTCCCTCTGCAAATGGTCGGTACCCGCAACGGCATCACAGCACGATTGCGAGTGACTCTACGCTGCGTCTGGCAAGTCGAAGCGCCTTCCGATTGCCCGAACCATCGCCAACTCACTGACTTGCCAGGACCATACCTCGCCTACAGAAGGCAGCTGCTCCTGCTGCACGTCGGTGAGACACCTGCGTCCCTCCACGAAACGTCTGTGCGGCGTTGTGTGTCGGCGACGTGCAGCGATGGTACAGGCGAGCCCGAACCACGGGAGCCACACGCCCAGCCACCGGTGGGCGCTCATGCGATCTCTCGCTCCTGCCACCATCTCCCGCCTCTCCCGCTTCCTCCCCTCCTTTCCTTTCATTCATGTCCAACAAGCCCGAAATGCCCGATTCTATGCCTGTACCCGGGGCACCACTTTAAGAAATGCCCCGCGCCGACGCGCCTGATTCGCTTGCGGGAAGGTCGCTTTGACGATGAACATGGCCCGGGTCGACTCCTATGTCCGAAGACGTAGCGCAGTGGCGTGATGGATCGACGGAGGAGCGGGAGGAACAGCAGAGCAACGGGCTACAAGGTAAGTAGCCCGTCATTTTGATCCGCCCAGCCGTTCCCAGCCAGCTTCCGCCCGCCCAGCCGTCGATCCTCAGCCCTAGCTCAACACCCGCCCTCTACTGCCCTCGGACCCGCCCGGTACTGTGCGCTGTTGACGTACGCGCTCCCACTCATCCCTTTTCGTGCACATGAACCCCTCCGTTGCGACCACCAGCCCGCCCAGCAGGCCGGCGAGAATTGACGACTCACACCGGCCACCTGCCCTCCCTCTACCCCGTGCCTGGCCTTCTCCCTCCATTCTCGACTGTACCCGCTCTCTCTGACCTGCCTCCAGGCTTGCCAATTCTGCCTGGCAAGCCCGCCCCCACTCCGAGTCAGCCACCGACGGGCACTCACGTGACCGTCCTCTCACCGCCAATCTCCTTCCCCTCCCAGCTCTTCCCAGCATCTCTGCCGCGTCCAACCAGGCCCCCGCAACCCGCCGTAAAGCACGCCGCACGCCCGGCTCGTTAAAGCAAAGCCCCGCGTGAGGAAATGCCCGCGGAAGGCCTCGTCGTCGGACGTGGCCCGACCTGCAAGAGCCGGAGCGTGAGTCACGTCCAACGATGTAGCACGAAGGGTGAAGGAGAGGTGGGGGAGTGGGAGACAAACGAGAGGCACGGGCTACAAGCACGTAGCCCGCTTTGTGAACTCCCCGCCATTCTCGCCCACTCGCTTGCCCTTCTGGACGCCCGCCCGCCCATCCTACCGCCTCTACCGCCCTCGAACTTGCCTGGCAACGTTGGCCATCGACGCACACACTATGCGCTACCCTTCCACACACATACACACGTGGCCCATCCTTTCGCGAGCGCCAGCCCGACCAGCCTTTACGACTCGCGCGCTCACACTCCACTCCCTTCCCCTCGTTTAACGAGCGCCGCTACGCACCGCAGTGGTCTCGTCGACCGCACGTCCCCCGCGCCCGGCCCATTCATATATTCCTCCACCTGCTTTGCCGGCTACCGCAGCCCCCACAAATCGGCGAGTCTCCCAGGCCCCTCGTCCTCCCTCTACGTCGTACCCCGCACTCTCCCGACCCTCACCAGTGCCCACACGCGCAGGGTTGTGCACTTGCGCGCCCGCCTCGCCCTCCAGCCGCTGTTGGACCCACCGACCATCCCTGAAGATCGCCCTCCCACTCCGCTATCCCCCACCCTCAGAACAGCGGGTGCTGTGCGGCGTCGCCCCGCTTGTATGACTCCACCGTCCACCTTCCGTCCCCCGCTTTCGCCGTCGCAGCCGGCCAGCCCCGTGAGTCTGCGACTCAGCCTCCCCGTCCTTCCCCTCCAACTACTACCTGGCCTCTCTCGGCTGCTCCATGCGTAGGAGCGTGCCGTCGGCACACCCCGCCAACCTCAGCTGCCAACCTCGGCTGGACCTGCCGCCCGCTCGCCAAGCCTGCCAGTCCCCTGTCAATCCCCACTGCCATTCCGCCGTCTATCATCGTCCAAACGGCGTGGCCCTCTGTATCGTCAACGCACACACCGGCTGCCATCTTCCGTGCCCACGCGGCCCTCTTCCTCAATCGCCAGCTTGCACGGCAGGTCGTTGTGGGTTGGCGACTCACACCGGCCCTCTCATTCTTCCTACCGCCTACAACGGCCCTTGGAGCTGCCCTATGCGTAGGGGTGCATCATTCACGCACTCCTTCGTGCACCGACCTCTCCCACCAGCTGCTGTTAGACCCGCGCGCCTGCTCGCCAAGCCCATCATCCTACCCGTCAATCCTACGCTCATCCTGCCATCTCCTGCACTCGGAACAAGCGGGGTGGTATGAGCCATCGAGGCAGACGACTCGCTCTCCCTTTCAAAGCCTATCCGCCCTATTTCCGCCACTGTGTCGACGACGAAGACCTCCCACAGGCTACCCTCCTTCAACCGACGAGCCCCATCTCCCACCTAAATACATCGCGGGCGGTGTGAGTCATCGACTCACACCGGACCTCTCCTCCCTCTCTCCATCCTCTGCTCGCCTGGTACCGGCCCCTCTCCGACGGCCTGTGCGTATGTTTGCGCGATCGGGACACCTCGCACCCTGTGTCCCCACCCTTCTGACGCTCTGACAGCCCTTGTCAACCACGCCTGTTGACACGCCCGCCCGCCTGTTCCCAACATGCTCGTGTGTCGAGCAGGTCGCAGTGGTTGGGTGCGCCCGCGCAACAAGCCCGACGTTACGCGTGCTGGGTGAGAACAGGGTATTTACCCGCGATCGCGCCGCGGCGCGATCGCGGGTAGGGTACACTATATTGACAGCCTCTCAGAACAGTTTTTACTACCCGCGTTCGCGCCATGACGCGAACGCGGGTATGTTGACTGCTCCGAGCGGTGCATATTTGGTATGTTTTCTACCCGCGTTCGCGCCGCAGCGCGAACGCGGGTAGAGACACAGTCTCGAGAGCTACTTCCCCATGCTCTTGTACCCGTGTTCGCACTGCAGCGCGAACGCGGGTAGAGACAGTCTCAAGAGCTATTTCCGCATGTTATTCTACCCGCGTTCGCGCCTGTGGCGCGAACGCGGGTAGAACACAATTCTGCGTCTACCTACTGTTCCTGTAGCAGACATGTTGTATTTGATTTGGAGTCGGTACAGTGCGAAATGGATATGGATTAGTAACGTAGCGTGCGGGGGCTGCACAGCCCAAAATGAAGCTCTGGGATAGTACTTCGGTGAGACCCGCTCAGCCACCGGCGGGCGCTCACGCAATCCACTCGCACTACCATCTCCCGCCTCCTCCCTCCCTCTCTTTCGCGTCCAGCAGGCCAACCGTGCCCTAATATTCTGAGCCCTTACACGACGCACCTCGTCAAGGAATGCCCCGCCCCGCGCGCCCAATTGGCGTGCGGGAAGGTCGCTTCAACGAACATGGCCCGGCCAGCAAGAGCCGGGCCGTCTCCTACGTCCAAAGACGTAGCGCACTGGCACGGTGGATCGATTGGAGGAGCGGGAGGAAGAGCAGAGGAACGGGCTACAAGGTAAGTAGCCCGTCATTCCGTCCACCCTGCCATTCCCCGCCAGCATCCGCCTGCCTGCCTGGCCTTCAATCCTAAGCCCCAGCACTTCAGTCCACCCTCTACTGCCCTCGGACCCGCGCGGTAGTGCCCCCACCCATCCCTTTCTACGCCCATGCGCCCCTCCATCGACTGCCCCTTCCTGTCCCTCGCCTGTCCGCTACGCTCAAGGATGTGCTATCATCCACACACCTGCCACACGCCCGCCTCGCCCACCAGCCGCTGTTGGACCCGCCGACCCTCTCGCCATCCGTGATTGATGATCGCACCCGCACTACACTACCCTCGCTCTCGGAATAATAGCAGGTGCTGTGCGTCGTCCACGCACATGCCCTCTCGTTTGTCTCCACGCCCACCTTCTGTCTCTCGCCTTCGCTATCCCAGCCGGCAAATCCTGTTCCCCTCGCTCCACCTGCCCACCTGCCTCTCTTGGCTGCTCTGCGCGTAGGAGTTCGCCATCGACGTAACTGGCCGCAAACCTCAGACCCCAACCTCGGCTGGACACGCCGCCCGCTCGCCAAACCTGCCAGTCCCGTCTATCCACCCCCCGTCCTGCCATCTACCCATCCTCCAAATGGCACGGCCGTGTGCATCGTCAACGCACACCCCGGCTGTCATTTTCTGTGCCCACCCGGCCCTCTTCCAACACCGCCAGCTCGCCCGGTACACCATCGCTCTTACGCCCACCCTGCCATCTCCCACGATCATCCAAACAGCAGGGCTGTGTGCGCGGACGATGCGCACACCCCCGTCTTCCCTTTCGAAGACCACCCGCCCCCTCTCCCTCTCTCCACACTCTGCTCGCCTGGTACCGGCCCGTGCGTATCGGCGCGCGATCGGAAGAACTCCTCGCAACCTGTGTCCCCGTCCTGCTGACGCTCTGACAGTGGGCGGGTGTGCCCGCGCCACAAGCCCGATTGTTACGCGTGCTGGGTGAGAACAGGGTATTTAACGCGCGATCGCGCACGATCGTGGGTAGGGTACATTATACTGACAGTCTCTCAGAACAGTGTTTTTTTTTTTACCCGCGTTCGCGCCATTACGCAAACGCGGGTAGGTTGACTGTTCTGAGCAGTGAAGCATCTGGTATATTTTCTACCCGCGTTCGCGCTGTGACGCGAACGCGGGTAGGTTGACTGTTCCGGGCGGTGAACATTCGGTATGTTTTCTACCCGCGTTCGCGCTGTGATGCGAACACGGGTACGTTCGTTGACCTACCTCGGTCGTACCTGGGTGAGTTTGGGCTCGTTGCGCCCACCCGCTATCCTCGCTGTCCTCGTTGCTCACTCGTGCTTGCCCGTCCCCCCTCCTCTCGCGTACTCTGTTCGCCGGCCGTGTTTGCGTGCTGGGCAGTTGCCCAACGCGCTCGCGATCGACGTGCGCATCGACACGCTTCACCTCGCTGAGATGCCCACAATCTGCTCGCTGTCCGCGTGCCTCCCGTCCCCGCCTGCGATCTGCCCTCGTCGCTGTTCTCGCGGCCATCTTTGCTGTGTGTACTCGCCGTTGCTGTGTCTGCGGTGTTCACGCATGGTCGCACCTGAGACCATGCCGAAGGGTCCAGTTGTAAATGATCCTCAACTTCGTTACATGTGTACAGAGTGTATGCTTACCCGCCATTGCGCCACGACGTGATTGCGGGTAAGCATACACTCCATAATTGCACGGACTGCCCTCTGCGGCCCGTACCTGCAATGGCATCACAGCCCAATTGCGGATGAATCTGGCAAGTCGAAGCGCCTGCTGATCACCCGCCGGATCGCAGAGTCGACCTACCCAGGCGAGCGTTCGGTGCCCGCTTAGCCCACTTCGGCTGTACGTCTACGACATACAGCCGCCATGCCCTCCGCATACGGCGTCCACACGGCGTTCATCGTCGACGTGCGGCGACGGGGTGGGCGAGATCGTCTCAGCCACCCACTCAACTACCGACGGGCGCTCACACGATCGTCCCCTTCAAGTTCCACCGCCATGTCCTTCCTATCCCGAGTCGTCCCCGCCTCCCTCTCTCGTCCCACCAGGCCTCCGTACCCCACCGCCAAGCCCGCTGCACACCCCGGTCATGAAAGCAAGGCCCCGCCGGAGCAAACACCCGCGGGATCACGACGTCGCCCGGCTACCAAGAGCTGGACTGCGAGACACGCCCAGTGGCGGCTCGTGTTCGATGGAGGAGGACCAGGAGAGGGTTTAGAGAGACGAGAGGGAGGGGCTACCAGGTAAGTAGCCCTTTGTTTCGCCCACCCCGCCGTTCCCTCCCCGCCCGCTCGCAAATCCTGCAGGCCACACCCAGGTCTACCTCCACCGCTTCACCCCGCCAGCTACGCCCCTCGAACGAGCGGGGGGGGGGGGTGCATCGTCAACTCGCACGCCCGCGGTGTCCGCTTCCATGACACCACGCCTCTGCGACACCCCCTACATCGCCCACCAGCTCGGTGTGAGTCGCAGACTCACATCGCCCTCCCACTCGCTTGCCTGACCCGTCCCTGCCCTTCACAGGTACCCATTCGCGTAGGGGTGCGCCCAACGGAGCACCCGCTTCGCAAGGACACCGCCAGTCAGCCCCACTAGACCTACCCGCCCGCTCGCTCAGACTGCCTGCCCGCTCGCCAAGGACGCCTACCTGCCGTCGATCCAAGCCCCACCCCGCCAACTAGCACCCGACGAACGGTGTGTTGGTGTGATTCGCTGACGCACACGCCCCACGTGTCCGCCTTCTACGCCCACCAAGCTTCTGCGCCAGCCACTAAACCGCCTGTCAGGCCGATGTGAGTCAGGGACTCACACCGGCCTGTCACCTTCCCAATCACGCTTGCCAGACCCCTCCCCTCCCCTTACAACTGCCCTACGCGGAGGGGTGCGTCCAACATCGCACCCCCTATGCTCGGACCTCGCCTGCCGACCCCGTTGGAGCCCCCCGCCTGCCCATCGAGCCCGCCCGCCCGCTGTCAATCCCCGCCCATCATCTACCACCCAATGAATAATGCGACGGTGTGTGTCGCCGACGCACAGCCCCGCTCATCCGCTTCCATGCCCACCACGTGCGTCCTACCACGCATCGCCGTCGTACGCTACACAGGCCCCTTGCCCTCCCCGACGCTACCCGCCTCTCACGGCTGCCACTTGTGTAGTGTTATGCCGTTAGGGCACCTGCCATGCGCTCATCTCACACACCCGCCCGCTTGTTGGACCCGCCCGCCTGCTCGTTGTGTCCACCCTTCCGCTCGTTGACCCCCATCCTCTTGCCGTCCATTACGATTCCGAGCCCACCCCGCCGATCTACCACCCAAGGAACAGTGCGACGGCATGCAGTGTGGATGCACATGACCCATTTGTCCGCTTTCACCACTCTCGCTTACCGGACCTCTCCCCACTGCGAACACGGTCTCCAACGCACTTATGTGTTAATCTACCCGTGTTTGCGCTGTGGCGCGAATGCGGGCAGGGCACGCTGTGTCGAAGGGGTATGGATCTGTGTGTTCTCTACCCTCGTTCGCGCCGTGACGCGAATGCGGGTAGGGTACACTGTCCTGGTACATAATTTGCTGTGTTTTCTACCCGTGTTCGCGCCGTGACGCGAATGCGGGTAGGATACACTGTTCTGAGGGGGATTGGTTCCGTACGTTCTCTACCCGCGTTCGCGCCGCGACGCGAACACGGGTACGATGTACTGTTCCGAGAAGCTTTGGGAGTATTATGTGTGTATCAGGTGTTGGAACATGCAATCTGTATTTATAGGGCATTTTCAACCAATGTTCGGGGTCAGGGCGGGGTCAGGGCGAGGGTTTCACAAAAAACTGGACCTCTGCGCATGGGGAACACCCAACAATTTCCTGTTTCCTTACCCGCACTTGTGCTACAGCGCAGAGGCGTGTAAATAGATGGATTGTAACTCTACACAACAAACTAACACAGTACAGTAATAATATAGCTACATCAATGATCCATGCGTCACTCATGCACTTACAGTAATGTACCGGTCCTTGAAACACTCAAATCTTTCTTGGCCTACCACATCCATTGAACATGTCGTACCCAAGATCAGACCACATATACGTTTTGTATCACTCTGTATGAGTATATAAATTATTCTACATTCTTATCCATGCAGAGGCTCTGTGACAGCACGGAGATCAGTTCAAAATTCTCTAATCGGTGGCGGGACCAGTCCTTGAAACACCTGCCTAAAATGGCAATTTTTGTGAGTGCATGTCAATGCTTCGGCAGCTATGCAGTCATATTCATCGCAAATAATACTGCTCAGTCGGGCCAGTGAAGATGAAGGAATGTATAGTGATTGCTCTGAACTTCCTGGTGATAGCTCATAATCGCCAGTGCAAGGGATTTCGTACAATGTCTGGTTGATATAAGCGCCGCTTACCATATCAGGCAACAGAATGTCGTGAAACACGAGTTTCAGGTTTCTCGACACGCTGTATGGGCTTCTGTGCTCGTACCATTGAACTGAATATCTAGGAGATGTGATAAAGTGTCATTCTATTTATCATGATTTTTTGGGGCCTCAGAGGTTCAGTGAAAATGAGTGAAGTCGATTTGTTTCAAGGACCGGTTGTGTTTCAAGGACCGGTACATTACTCTACTACTGAATACCCATTTTGTAGGGGTATTTTACCCCTTTTGTGCTGCCCACATATGAGTGGCGGTAAGGAAGCTTACAAATCAGTCATTTACCCGCACTTGTGCAGACGGCGCCAATGCGGGTAATGACACACTAACTATGTGACACGCTACCCGCACTTGCGTCGCCGGCACAAGTGTGGGTAAATAAAGATAGAATTAAAGATGAACAGGCATAAACACCTGTAGAGTTCATGCAAGAGATCAGGAAGTGAAGGAAAGAGGAATAACAACAGGAACTTGAGAAGGGTAAGCTCTCATTGAATTAAATTTTTATTGCTGAGTCTACATATTTTGATGATAGAAGAGACATCAGTCTGGAAAGGTCAGTTGAGCCAAGTTGTCAATGCTGTGATTTGACAACCGATACATAAGTCAAGGGGCCCATGCCGCAAATACAGAAAGAGTGGACATGATAAGATTATATAGATCACAAGTGACGAACAACAGCAAAATAACAAGAACATCGAGTTGGTGTACATACAAGTTAGGTGATGAAAAAATGACCACACGACGCTAGCAAGTAACCATGAGGGATGATCGTTGAGTGCGTGAAGGACCATACGTACCTCAAACGTCATCACCCCGGCGCAACAACGCCTGAACCGTCGCCTTCAGCTCGGTGATTTCGTTCTCGAGTTTGGCAATCCGCTCGTGGTTCTTGCGCACGTCGTCGTGCATGAAGGTCTCGGCGTTATCGATGTCGTTGGACAGGTCGTGGAGCTCACGCATGTGGATGGCATTGTCCGCGGCCTGCGCTTGCGTCGCGAGGTTGACGATGTTGATGTCGTTCTGCTGCCTTTTCAAGGCGCAGAGGGCGTGCTCGAGCTCTTCAAACCGCTCGTCAATTCGATCGTCGAGCTGATCAACCTCTGCGTTGACGTAATGCCAGATCAGCTCCAAACGTTGCGTCGTCGTGAGGAACCGGGGGCGCGGATGATGGAGGCGCGGATGATGATGGGCAGACGATGCAGACGGCGGTGGTGGAGTCGCCACGCGGGTGCCTTGCTCGACTGTCATGCGAGGGCTCTTGACGGGCCGTGCAGGTCCCGAGGGTTCCGGCGACACGCTCGCAGGTCTCTTCTGACCGCGCGTGGTGGGTCCTGGAGTGCCGGTGGTCGTCGCGATCTCCTCCTGGCCTCCGGCGGAGTCCCCACCATTGTTCCCGCCTGTCGAGGGCTAAATTGATTGACAGACGTTTGAGCGCGACGATCGTCGCTTTCCGGGCAACCAACGTTTGCTCACCGTGGAACTTGACTGACCATCACTGACGCGCGATGCTGAGATCGGCGGACGCGGGTCAACTAGATTGAGGATCGATCTATCAGCGCAGACAGATTATAGGGGATTTTCGACCAATGTTCGGGGTCAGGGCGGGGTCAGGGCGAGGTTTTCACAAAAAACTGGACCTCTGCACATGAGGAACACCCAACAATTTCCTGTTTCCTTACCCGCACTCGCGCTACATGCGCCATTGCGGGTAAACGACCACTGTCCGAGACTGTTACCCGCACTCGCGCTACAGCGCAGATGCGGGTGAATAGACGGATCATTACTCTACACAACACACTAACACAGTACAGTAATAATATAGCTACGTCAATGATTCATGCGTCACTCATACACTTACTACCGAATACCCATTTTGTAGGGGTATTTTACCCCCTTTCGCGCTGCCGGCACGAGTGCGGGTAAAGAAGCTTACGAATCAGTCATTTACCCGCACTCGCGCCGACGGCGCCAATGCGGGTAACGACACACTAATTATGTGACACGCTACCCGCACTCGCGTCGCCAGCGCGAGTGCAGGTAAATAACAATAGAATTACACGAACAGTACCCGCACTCACGCCGGCGACGCGAGTGCGGGTAGTTGTAGTACGATTTGATGTACCGTTACCCGCACTCGCGTCGCCGGCGCGAGTGCGGGTAAATAACCATAGACCGGTAGCATCGAGAGACCGGATCCATTGATCTTAATCGGTATCTTTACCCGCACTCGCGCTGGCTGCGCGAGTGCGGGTAATGTCACACGATCATGTGCTTCGGACGTATCCGTAGCCATGCGTTCGGGGCACACTTACCTTGTTAAACATACGCCCACAGATCGATCGCGCGTTCGCGCACATCTCTACGCTCTTCATCTCACTCTGCTTGTCATCTGTGCTGTGCCATGTCTGACCGTGGCTCGTCTCGGTCGCCTGGACCTTCGGATCAGTCGCTGCAGTATGAAGAGGTACGTACCGTTATCAAATCAGTGGCCGATCGACACTGACAGTTGTCAATGTAGATTCAACCGGACTTGGACGTGATCGGGGGGATCCCAATGCCCATGACGGCCGGTCAGGGCGCTGAACAGGATCGGGAGGCTGAGCTTCTCGCAGAGGCGGCGGAAGCATGCCTCGGCTTCACGCTCGTGCCGGCATCGCCCTGGCTTATGAGAGCAATGCAGGTCGACTATTTGTACCAACGTTGGAACCCGCGCCGCTCGATGCTCACCACCGCGAGGGTATCGTGAAAGACCTGAAGCACGAGCCTCGCAACGTACTCAAGGAGAACGCGCTTCTGCTCGCCGTACCCGGTGGATCGGTCAGCCCGAGTCGTTCATCGTATCCGGTCACAAGGGCTCGAAGACGCCGAAGCTGCAGCTTGCAGCCCAGGCGATTGAGGATGAGAAATCGAAGGTCGTGCTTGACGTGATCGCCGGGCAGCATCGCCTGCACGCGTCTGCCGACTGGCACCAGGACGGTGAGAATGCGATCGTGCGCACGGAGAAGCGCGTGGACGATTGGAAGGCCTCGTTCAAGACGTCGGAGGCGTGGAGGGCCGAACTCAAGCAACGTGAACAGGACGTGGAGAATGCGCATGCGTACATGCACGAGCGGGCGTGGTGGTTGGCGGAGGTCTTCGATAGCGGTGCGTTCGTATCGTTCTCACAAATCTCGCACGATCACTCATACCATCCTTAGATAAACTCTCACCTGCGGCGATCAACACGCTCGCGCGAAACCGCGACGCACGGAAGAAGGTGGAGGGGGATCAAGAGAAGTTTACGATGGAGATGAAGTCGCTGTGTGAGATCAAACCGTCGCAACTCGTCAAGTCCTGCGTGATAAGCAGGAGACCCACAAGGAGGCTCAGCAGGCGGAACGACAGGTCAAGGGCGGGCACCATGCGAACACGATGTTCTCGCGCATCGTGCACTGTCTTCCGCTCGCACGATTCTGCATCGCACTCACGTCGCTCGGGTCCCACTTTGAGAATACCGGCATCATGCGGTGGCGAGAACTCGAGCAGGAAGCGACGACGACATTTGGAGTGAGTATCAGGTTAATCCATTTTGATTGTGGCTAACTATCTACGTCATACAGGCGGTCATCTACCCCGTCCTCGACTTGCACCGGACGATGGGCCTGATCGGCTCGAAGCAGGATTTCCCGCTGTCGGACGACAAGGTTACGCAAGCATGTACGGACTGGGACGCGTTCGTACACGCGCACCATGCGAAGGAGGGCGAGAAGATATACGGTGCGGACGGCCAGGAGAGTGCCGCGCTGGACACCATCAAGGAGTACGGTACGATGAACCGGCTTCGGTCAGTGTTCCTGCGTGCGGTGCCCGACTACTCTATGTACACTCCGGAAGTCTTCGAGGCTCTGGAGATCTTGCACCAGAAGCACATCGTCGAGGACGATCCGCGCCTGCTGTACCTGCGGACGACTGACGCTTGCAAGCAGATGCGTGCGTACGGTGATGCGTTGCATGCTGCCATGGCTGACCTCCTGCCATGCGACACGGATGCGGAGATTGCGCATCGTGCAGCGGTCCTCGCGCGGATCCGGTTCGTGTACCATCCGTGGAGTGTGGAGGCGCAGGGCGCCGCGGTTGTCACGGCCGCACCGCTGATCACGCACGGCTTGATTTCGTGCCTGTTGGTTGACCGTGCGACGCACGAGTTGGGATGGATCTGGGTAAGTACATCGCTCCGTGCTCTGGTGATTGTTACTCACCGGTGTCAGCTCGCGTTCGTGCTCGAGCCGATGTCGCTGTTTGCTTGTGCGGTCGGCAACGACCTGCGCTACAAGTCGGCCGGTGCCTTGGTGGGCGCGTTGACTGCGCTTGAGCTGATGGGCGGTCTGAAGAAGCACATTGGGCCGGTGAGCGAGAGCCTGGCCGCGAAGGTCAGTGGTACACAACATACAGATCGGAGACCGTGCTCACCGGATGATGTCAGATCGTGATGTTGTCGTGGGCAAAACGGACGCGGTTCATGCCGTTGCTGGCCTACTGTTCGGAGGC